AAGAACTGTTCTTCATCGATTCGATGAGCCCAATGCTGGATTCCCCAATGTTGTAATCTTTTACACTAACAAAGACTACAAAACCCTCACCTCTCGCATAATATTTTTGAATCAGGTTACGCCATCTGCTAATCCTAGATTACAAGAATATTGTCTCTCTCTCATCTACTTGGTTTTCCTCCAACAATAGAAGAAAGATATACAGGGAAACTCAAACTCTATCTCTAGCCTATCTTCCTAATTAGAATAGAATTCAAACTCCTAATCATGATGAGACTCAATCTCCTAATTTTGATAGATCTATAACTCTATCTAATTCTGATGAAGTTGTACAAAGAATCAAAGACATAATCCTAACAAAAGTTGCAGCCTCTTGTATTTTCTACCTAAGAAGACACATACATTATCATTGAGATTTTAGCTTCTTATCTATAGCTTTTGTGGAATCAAAGGTTTTTTTCCTCTCCCCGGATTCAAAGAACTGTTCTTCATCGATTCGATGAGCCCAATGTTGCAATCTTTTACACTAACAAAGACTACGAAACCCTCACCTCTCGCACAATATTTTTGAATTAGGCTACGTCCTCTGCTAACCCTAGATTACAAGAATATTGGCTCTCTCTCACCTGCTTGGTTTTCCTCCAACAATAGAAGAAAATATACAGGAAAATCAAAACTCTACCTCTAGCATACATTCCTAATTAGAATAGAATTCAAACTCCTAATCATGATGAGACTCAATCTCCAAATCTTTGATAGATCTCTAACCCTATCTAATTCTCATGAAGTTATACAAAGAATCAAAGATATAATCCTAGCAAAAGTTGCAGCCTCTTGTATTTTCTACCAAAGAAGACACATACATTATCATTAAGATTTTCGCTTCTTATCTATAGCTTTTGTGGAATCAAGGGTTTTTTTTCTCCCCAGATTCAAAGAACTGTTTCTTCATCGATTCGATAAGCCCAATGTTGCAATCTTTTACACTAACAAATACTACAAAACCCTCACCTCTCGCACAATTTTTTTGAATCAGGCTACGCCCTCTGCTAACCCTAGATTATAAGAATATTGGCTCTCTCTCATCTGTTTTGTTTTTTCCAACAATAGAAAAAAATATACAGGGAAACCAAAACTCTATCTCTACTCTACCTTCCTAATTATAATAGAATCCAAACTCCTAATCATAATGAGACTCAATCTCCTAATCTTGATAGATCTCTAACCCTATCTAATTTTTATAAAGTTATACAAAAAACCAAAGACATAATCCTAATTAACAAAAATTACAGCCTCTTGTATTTTCTACCTAAGAAGACGCATACATTATCATTAAGATTTTTGCTTCTTATCTATAGCTTTTGTGGAATCAAAGGTTTTTTTTCTCCCCAGATTCAAAGAATTGTTCTTCATAGATTCGATGAGCCCAATGCTGGATTACATGAATTACTTCTGCCTGCATCTTATATATCGAAAAATAGTTTATATTCAGTTTTTATGAGTGGATTCATTTTTCATAGCAATAGTAAAGCATGCGATGATAAGGAAAAGAAAGGCAGCATAGAGATGCTACCTTTACACACTAAACACTAGGGAAGAAATGACCATGTTTTACCTTGGGAGAGCATAAAATACTTTGACAGGCTTGTCAAGGCTTTAGGAGTTTTGATGACTAATCTCACTGAAGTAGATAAAAATTAAAATGACGTGAGCAACAGAGGTTACGGACGTCAATCTAATTACGCACCAGTTACTGGAAAATTATTAGCGCCATTTACTGTTCTCCACACAACCCCACACCCCACAACGGAAGAAAAAAAAACCTCATCCTCCCTTCCTCCAAGACTAAGCAACATAAGAACGTACACCTCTTAATTCATTAAAAGATCTCAAAGTTCTAGAAAAGACTGATACAGAAGAACAAGAGTAGAACTCGTAAATACTTAAGTTGATTAAGATCTCCACTCAACAATCTTTTTAGCCTCTAACAAGCCAAGACACATCTCAAACGTAGAACTAATGTATATCACATGCTTATAAGAGTCTCGAAGCAAATGAATAAAGAAGTTGGTGAATTAACAACTCAGTCAACTTAAGTTTATTATAACTTTTCTCAAAGAGGCATTACGACAAGTAAATATTATATGATAAGAGATGAATGATTGCATGAACAAAATTATGAGGACGATATTAGCACGACTCAATATATTGACATAGAATAAATTCAAAAATAAAAAATATTATTATTAATACTTAAAAACACTAGAGTCGAAAAAATACCACATTTAAATTTCAGGGTTAAAGTATATGTAATGCTTTCGGCATGTCACGCATAATATTACTATAAAATACAAAAAATATAAATATAAATAAATAAATCAATCAACCAAGGCTTGGAAACATGACAACATAGAATACTTGACACTTTTCTATATTTTTCAGTAGAAAGTAGAAAGTAGAAAGATATGATTAAAGATATAAAAGTTCATCAAAAATTTAATTTGAATCATTAATTTTATGCACATTTTTAAGATAAAATACAACCAGAAGCATGTTCAGGACATAAAATTTCTGTTTAAACATATGAAAGATGTTTTATAGGAATTTACTTATATGTATAATTTTATCTCTACAAAATAATTGAAAACTAATTCCTACACATTATCTAACGAACAAGAAAAATTAAAGTTACTTAAACTTCCATCTTCACCTGACATTGACAACTGAATTTACCCAGTAATAAACAACCTACACAAAAGGTTTAATGAAATTACATACATTAATGCTGATATTTGAAATTTAAGATTAAATTTTAAACTGTATCAAAAAGCTAAAATCATAGTAAAATAACATTCATTAGTCAAATTTATAGCAATACAGCTATCATTTATTAAACAATTGCAAGCCACAGATCCACTATCCTTCTAACATTTTGCTCGTCTGACCTTCCCATGATACAACTTTGATTGTAATTACCACTAGTTTAGTCTAATCTTACCAAATATATATAATTTAAAATTTCTACAACACTTTTTCAGTTAAAACATATATCTATTCCTTGCAAGGGAATATAAAATAATGTTGGGTCTTGTGATACAAGTATCCAAGCAACAGTTTAAAATCAAATACTAGTCACTATTAGCAACAATTCACAAAAGGAAATTAACAGTAACAAATACTTGAGCAAGTAATATTCCTACTTTCCAATATATTAAAAGCAATAATCTTTATATTAGTTGCAGAATAACTGAAAACTAGTAAACAAAATAATGCATTTTTTTTGTTGGTCCACTCTGGGAATTTCAAACAGAAATTTTTTATCTCTCTGCAAATAACCATTGCGGTTATTAGAAAGAAGCAGCTTTTGCATGTGAATGTAAAAAACCAGTATTAAGAAAATAAAAAAAGAAAAAGAAAAACAAGAAAACAGTAATTCCTTGGAAAATGGTGTCATAAAACATTTCAAGGGTAAGCCAGGCATATGCATGTAGCTCTCATTAATCATTTACTTCATAAATTGAGGATTTAACATAAAAATTAGAGCACTAATCAGGTTATTTTTGTAAAAAGGCACTAGCCAGGTTTAGAAGAGCAGGACTTGGAACCCAAAACTGTCAAACCTTTAGGGTACCTCAAGCTAATACTCAAGAGCAAGAAAAGAACAATTAAGGAACGATAAGCACAAGGTGAAAGTATACTGTGGTGAAAAGAGTACCAACAAAGTATTAACCTTTAAACCAGCACATTAATCTCCAAGTCATTTGGTACTACACTAGTCAATGACAAACAATCTTTAGTAAAAACTGCCTATGTTTAAAGAGTAAGCAAGCACACAGCTACCCACAGAACACATACACAAGCTCATCAAAACCAACAAAAAGACCAAAACATAGTTTAGGATGCACAATCTAGTCACCACTCATTTTATGTCTTTGCTTTTGGCACCATATTCTAAACAAAAAACTAAAACACCAAAGCCCTGGGAGATGTGCTCCTTGTCTCATAAAATTATATACCTCTCGGAATTGAAGCATAATGTTTGTCCAAAGAATGCTAACTTTATTACCGCTCCTTGATCCTCTACCCACACGAGGGCTCCCCCCCTATTATTCTATACCCTCCATCCCACAAACCAACATTATAAATTATAATAACATATAAAATAAACATAACAATATATTAACCAAGACTAATCTCGCATACTATGTGTTGTTTTAGCACGCTTTGGGAATGTAGGGTAACAACTGCAATTGTATTTGCAAGTGTTTGAATAATCGACAAGTAATACAATTTTAAGTGCAATTGCACCACCGCAAATAAAAAGAAGCAACCATTTGGTTCGCGCAACAAATGAAGTTCAAATTATAACTTCCAATTGGAATCAAACACCTCCAAATAATAGTAGAAATGTTCCATCGGCAAAATTTTAAAAATGAATCAAATAACTGCAACCGTATCTCTATGCAAAAATATTGAAGCAACTAAAATATAGACTGAATCCGGTCACATGATGGCA